GTGGCCCAAATTTGTCTTGGGCCTATAGCCCAATTTCCACATTACACACACACTTGTCTATTTGAAAGGCCCAACCAGAATAAGTCCAGCCCATTAGTGGGAATGTGCTAGAAGGCTTGAATCTGAACCGTTGGTTCTGGTGTGATCTCAGCCGTTCATTATAGCTGACCTTTCCTCTCCCTTGTACCTCCTTTCCCGTTTTGTGCCCTAGACAATCTCTGTTCTCTCCTTTGGTCCCCCTCTGCTTCTTTCTTCTTTTGCTCCAGCAACCATGGGCCATTCGCCGCCGTCCTTGGCCGTGCTTGTCCCAGTGGTTGTCTCTTCAACGGCTCCTTTTGACTGGAGTCCCTATTTAATGCAGAGAGATGTGTGGCAGAGGGTAAGACCTAGATTGAAACCCTAAATTCAAACACCTTACCTTATTCTTCTGTGAGCTGGGTCTGTGGTGAGTGGGTAAGAAGCTGAGTGCATCTTCTTCGTGGTCTTACTGATAATCTGGGTGGTTTCGGGGGTTTGAGTGCAGAGAGAGGATTGGTTCTGAGTGTGGTGCAATCCTAGACTGTGTGTGTGTGTGTAACAGTGGATACCTTTGTGGATCTGTGTGTGTGAATCGGTTTGGAAGACAGAGCTGTCTTCAATTTCATACTTCTGTTTTTCCCATACATTCATATTTATTTATCTTATAATGTTATTTTACTAACATCTATTTTGAGTTCTTATTTGTAAGCTTTCTTCGAGTAGAAACCCTACATATATAAATTACTTAATTAATATATATATTTGATAATTTAGGGAATATTCTATATTAGCAATTCTCATACTTGGAATTTGAACGTTGAAAGTTTAAAGCATAATATTCGTCCACTTGGCAATTGGGCTGCATCTTCTCTTTTGATCAATATATGTGGTGCCTATATATGTGTCAATGTGTGGTGTAAAATAAGTGGAAACAAATTTTATTTTATGCCAAACTACTTCGAACCCCTGATGTAAGGTTAAATTACAAAAAAAAAAAACCTCATGTTTCGATAATTACATTCACCCCATCAATTATGAATGTTCTTACACGTCAATCCTTGGTGTGTCAAATTTAGTAGAATGTTCTAATTTATGTGGAATATACTCCAATTTGTACCCGTTTTATCATATTCGAACTCCACATTTCGAAACAAGATGATCATAAGATGGATCTGTTGGCTTGTAAATACCAGATTGTGGTGCATCAGAAACTAAATTTATACACAAAACGAGTATAAAACTACAGAACATTCCATGGAATCTAGAAGATTCTGTTAAATTTGGCATCATTAGAGTGGACGTGTTAGTAAATTCACAAATTCACAATTGAGAGTAGCTGTAATTACCCAAACGTAAGGGACTTTTTCGTAATTTACGATCTATTCATAATTAAATGTCTTACATGGAAAACAATGTGACAACTTCTAAAAAAGGACAATTAAACAGCCACTTTCTAAACGCAATAAAATAATTGACTTATTTATGTCTTCTCCCTCATTAGAAACGTCAATCCATCAGTCTTCCAAAAAATCTAACGGACAAAAACTCCTCACAAATCTAAACAGCCACACCTCCTAATTATTAACAACACATTTATTCTCCATTAAAATTAATTAAAATAAATAAAATTAAAACACTCTATTTTCATTTTATTCATTTTTTCCACGAATTTTAGGTGACCCGCCATTAGTGCATAGCCCACTTTCTCCAAAGAAAATTCTACTCTATATGCTGAACACTGTATTGGAATATAGTATGATTTCTTTTTTGCACAGTTTCCAATACACTCCCTTTTCTCTTTACTTATGAATGAAAAATCATTGCCGAGTTGAAAAATTATATACTATGATCAAATTCAAACCCCACTTCAGTTACGTAGATATTTTGTTGTCTACTCTGTATACTTTGATGATCAAGATTTATGGGTTCTTCTGCAAATATGTGTGCAGGTTGGTATTATTTTTTTGAGTTCTTGATTTTTTTTTATTTTTTTTTTAATGTTTTTAATTTTATGGAGGTTGTGTAATTTTATTGCAAATAATAATAATTATAGGAAGGGAGATGAAGTTGTTGTTGTGTCTGATGATTCCACTGTGTTTTTGCCACGTGGGATTTCTGAGGAAGATGGTTTAGATTTGCAGGAGAGTAGAAAAGATGAAGATGGAATTGTTGCAACTGTTTTCTTGCAGAGTGAGTGTAAGTTTGTGCGTAGCGAAAACATGATTGAATACTTTGTCGAACAGCCGCAAACGGAGGAATTCGTGGTCGAAGAAATGTTTGTCGGATCAAACGAGGTTCGTGTCGGAAGTGATGATAGTTTTGATTGCGAAATTTCTCGGAAATCGGATAAGAAAATACTCGGATTCGGAGACGAAGACGAAGAAGAATCGGGCTCTTCGTTTCGTTTTAGCTTGTTCGATGCTTCTCTCTCTAGAAATGAAGTAGTTTGTGAGGAGAGAGAGGAACTAAGTTGTGTTCAAGATGAAGAAATTATGGAGGAACATGATTTTTCGTATGAGGTTGAATTGATTCCGTTTAATAGAAAAAACGAGTCCGGAAATTGGATGAGTGATTTTCTCGATCGAGATCGAGATATCGAACAGCGCAAACCAAGATCCGACGATGGTTCGGATGACGACGACGATGATTACATAGAATTGGAACTTATGTGTGTCAAAGATGAGGAATTATTATTATTACAAAAACAGGATATTATACAGAGTGAAGCTGTAATAACAACAGCGTTTTCGGACAGTTCAGACGAAGAGAAAAATCGTTGCGATTCAGATTCTGATTCAGATGACGAAGAAGAAGACGAGGATGTGTTGTCGGAGCATGAGAATTTAGTTCAACAGATGAAAATGGAGCTCAAGAATTGTAGTAGAATCAAAGGGCTCCCGACTATATCGGAAGAATTTGAAACTCCTAAAATTGAAGAAGATTTGTTGAAACCCCTGCAAATTGATCGGAAAATCGAGTACAAAGATGTAATCAACGAAATTCAAAATTTCTACAAGTGCTACACGGACAAAATGCGTAAACTCGATATTCTTAATTACCAGACTTTACAGGCAATTAGTAAGTTATTTTCGTTTTTTTTTTCGTCTTTTTAATTTTTTCTGCAGTAGACTACTTTCGTACGTGGAATCGGACATTATCTTTCTTTATGTGTCTTAAAATTAATTAAATCTTTGGCAATGACTACTTTCTTTATTTCTTTATATAAAGTGTTGATTAGTGGTTACTTTACTACATTAATCTAATTGTAGTTTAAATAGCATGATTAGTGAAAAGGGTTGTAATTAATAACTAATTATCGAATTTTCTAATGTTCGATAAATTGTAGGTTTTCTTCAGCTGAAAGAGTCTGAAGTACTTACCGCATGCAAGAAAAAGGCTGATTATTTAACGCCTTCGATTTTACCGAAATTTTTGAAACGGAAAGTGCAGAGAGTCTACGCAGATCCAATGCAAAAATCGATCAAAGAGATGCACCGTGACTTGGAATTGATATACGTAGGAAAACTTTGTCTCTCGTGGGAAATTCTTTGCTGGCTTTATGTGAAGGGACAAGAATTGATGGACTACGATTCTCAAGGGCATAATCATTCTTACAATCGAGCGGCCGAGGATTTTCAACAATTTCAAGTACTTATGCAGAGATTCATCGAAGACGAACCCTTTCAAGGAAATAGAAATCAGAATTATGTTAGGAGCCGTTGCATGATTCGTAATCTTCTTCATGTCCCGACTATCAAAGGTGAAACGTTATATAAATAATAATAATAATTAAAAAAAAAAGACAACCTTAAAAAAAGGTTACTAAGGTTTGTTTTATATTTTTGCATGCAGATGATTGTTCGAAGGCGAAGAAGGAAATAAAAGAAGAAACGGATGCAATTTCACTTAAACAATTGGTGGAAATGATTAAAGAATCGATGCTGATTTTCCGTGAATTCATTTTTGCCGATAAAAAGGCGACGAGAAACGCTGTCCTAAAGGGTATTCAAGAACCTCAAAACTCCGAGCTTTTAGTCGATGTTGTCTCAAAACTTCAAAAGGTTCGGTTTTTTTTTTTTTTTTCTCTTTCTGACCCCTTCAAATATTTTGTATGTTAGCGAGAAATTTGATGTTATTATTATGATTGTGCAGAAGGAGAGAAGAATTCAAGAGCATATTAGAAGTCGAAACTGCATAGTTACGAAGTTGAGAAAAAGTCAACGGGAATGCGACGAAACATCGACAAGTGAGGTGGAGTTGAGATTGGTGTGTAGGGTGCTGAATGTGTCAAACTTAACAAGAGAACACTTACTATGGTGCCATAACAAACTTGACAACATTAGTTTTGTAGGGAAAAAGGTTCATTTGGACACATCTTTTTTGCTTTTCCCATGTTAAAATTATGTTTTTTTTCACTTCATTTTGCTTAGTAATTAATACTTGTAAATGCAAGGTTTTAGAGATAAAGGAGAAAAAATATATGTGAAGTCTCAAACTTTTATGCAGTTGTGTTATGTATGTATTTAGGAAGGAGAGAAATAGTTCAATGGTTTGTATTATTACATTTTAGTATTTTACGATCGTTATTATAATCCGTTAAAAAGAACTTATGAGATATTTAAGAGCTTATAAGCACTTCCAAAGTGTTTGATATATTTTTCGAAAAACATCTTACAATTAACGAGTACAAATTTGCTTATAAGATCATATTATTCAAACGCTCTAAAATTAATTATAATAATTAATAAGACGTAACAATTTATCGGCTCTTCAATAACTAATCAGATGTAACTCGTAAGCGTTTATCAGAACTTTATAATAAGTTTAGTCAAACGGGCCTTAAGTTATGGAGAAACCATTTACTTTCGAGTTTCAAGACTCCTTTAGAATGTTTATTTCATTAACATTGTGTGTTTTGAATATTATTATTACTCTTTTTTTAAATTTATTTTTAAATGACAAATAAATTTTCATGTTATTTATATTTCAATAAAAAATATTATTCAATAAGATATTAGAATATAGAATATTAAATATATACTTTAAAATATTAATCATAGTGGTTATATATAAATTTGATTTATTAGCTAACATATAATAAATTAGTGCAAAAAAGAAAATGCTATTGGGCCGTAATTCAAATTGGATACATAAGGATTATTAGTAAAAGGTCCAATTAGAAAAGCCCCCAAATCGTAGCCGTAGATTGAAACAGAACTGATCTCCACCGTTGAAGTTAGGGCTGCAACTCACTCATATACCTCTCCTCCACACTTCACACTCCTCCTTCGCCCTCAGCCAACAGACGCCGAGAATTCAAAAGCCCGAATACCCGACCCGACTGTAACTGGGAAAATGGTGCAGCGGCTAACCTACAGGAAGAGGCACAGCTATGCCACCAAATCCAACCAGCACCGCATCGTCAAAACACCCGGTAATCATCTCTAATTTACTCGCTCGAATTATTTCATTTTAATTTGATTTGATTCGGCTCAATGTGCAAGGTTTGCATTTTCATCCGATTGAATTTGTTTGTGTGATTGATTTGGTGTGTGTGTGTGTGTGGAAAATAGGTGGGAAGCTAGTTTACCAGACTACTAAGAAGAGGGCAAGCGGTCCCAAATGCCCTGTTACTGGCAAGAGAATCCAAGGGGTAAATTAAATCTTACTATTTGATTTCATTTGATGTTGATTATTTTTGTTTTTTAGATTATGTTGCAAAAAATCATGTTTTATTTTATTTTATTTTATTTTTATACACTGTTTTATGCAACTAATTACATACTGTCTGAATCGATTATTTCCGGTTGGCATTTGTTTGTGTTTTTGGCTTGGTGCATTGGAAGTTCTGAATGGTTATTCTGTATGGTAGATGCTGTGTTAAGTTTTGATTTACTATAATTGAACCGTAGATAATTGAGATAATTTGATCTGGAATTTTAGCTGAAGAATGACTAACTGGTTTGGGTTCGTTGGTACTGTTAGAATCTGTAGAAAATGAGGTTTTTTATAGTGACTGTAGAACTTGTATTTGATATCAATAGTGTTTCTTACGTTTGTGTTTCATGTTAATTACATTGCAACAATGTTTGAATGGATATGGTAATCGGGACAGTTAATTGAAACGTCCGGGCTTTCTCTGAATTTCCTTGTTGCCGTTATATCGCTTCACTATGTTAAATGATGGTTTTCTTGACCTCACCACTAACCTTCTGAATCTTTGAATTGAAAATGCGATGGTCTTTTAGATCAAAGTTTCTCAGTTGAATATGTTATAAAATACTCAATTTGCGGGCTTTCTCTGAATTTTCTTGTTTCCATTTTATTGCTTCACCATTTTAAATGATGACTTTCTTGATCTCAATTGTACCATTCTTGAATCGGTGAATTGAAAATGCAATAGTCTCTTAGATCAAAGTTTCTCATTTGAATACATTACAACTTACACTCAATTTTCACAATTTTCACATGTTTGTAGATTCCACACTTGAGACCTGCTGAGTACAAGCGGTCTAGGTTGTCCAGGAATAGGAGGACCGTGAACCGCCCGTATGGTGGAGTTTTGTCTGGTGGTGCTGTGAGGGAAAGGTTAGTTACTTTTTCCTATCCTCTTCTACGTATATTCATTTTTTATTGGTATTTATAAAGTTTATGACTTGTTTTCTCGTTGGGTTTTGTAGGATCATTAGAGCTTTCTTGGTCGAAGAACAAAAGATCGTGAAGAAGGTTTTGAAGATACAGAAGACCAAGGAAAAGCTTGCTGCCAAGCCTTGATAAGTGTTCGAGTGTGGTGCTGAGATAGTTTTGCATAATTAGTGAAGGGAAAATCATGGAATTGTATTTTGAGGTTTACTAAGCTTGAAATATGTTATGTACTTTGTTGGTATTCTTTCGTATTTGACTCTTTATTTTGTCGAATTCAACTATTAGTTTTTTTTTTTTGAGTTTTTGGCCGTTTGAAGGCCAATTGAACTAATTTGGATTTTGCTTTTTGTGTTATTTTAAAATTTTGGTCCCTTTTATTTTTGAGGCTTTCGGAATTATTCGGTTTAAATCCTTTGTCGTAGATTAAATTTTAAGTGCAATGGTCGGTTGTATTATTATAGGGCTGTGATTTAGTTTGAATACTTGTGTATTATTATGCACGTGTTTTCATACTATCAATTATTTGTTAATTTCCATAATCTTACATTTTGTTAATAGCCATGCAGATATCTGGTGTTAACTACAAAATTGAATATATTTTCAATAAGAAGTTTTAGTAACATGTTTTCGTAGAAGTTAACGAAGGAATGTTTTCATTATTCGATACCTCAAAATATCGAGAAACAAGATTCATTCTCATCATGAATTATTTTTGATCAGTCGATAGATCTTTCATTTTATAGTTGGGGTGGTATTGAATTGAGAAAGAAACGAAGTTTAATTATTGCATTTGGTTAATTTGGTGTGACAATAACAAATTCCCACTTTTTTTTTAATATTTTTTCTCTCTTGCTTTCGTCTTTATTAAAGGTGAATAGACGAACCAAATTTTATTCATTGCTATAAACAAAAGGAGAAATTACAGTTTTCACCCCTTAAGTTTGCACTAATTCTATATTTGGTCCAGAAAAAACATATTTGGTTCCTCATATTTCAATAATTTAACATTTTTGGTGTTTTTCGTCAATTTACTATTACTCCTTCAGTTAAATAAGTGATGGACACAAGCTTGATTCCGTTAGTATTAACGGAAAATTGACGAAAATAACTAACAATGTTGAATAAAACATGAGTGATTAAATGTATTTTTTGTGAATACGGGGCGTCAAATATGAAATCACTGGAAATTTGAGGTCCCAAAACTGTAATTTTCCCATAAAAGAAGAGACGTACAATTTAGAAGCAGTGAAAAACAAATCAGTAGGACAATATGCTAAAGCATATCTATTTTTGGTCAAATTAATTAAATTTTTAAAGCTGAGCACTACAAACTAAAGTTGCTAGTAGCCAAAAACATAGCACAAAATAAACACTAATCATAGAGCATACAAAACTTGAATAATACATTACAACTAATAATTAATTTAGAATATATATAAAATAAATACTCAAATGTAGCAATTGTTAGTAGAGTAGCTAGTTGACAATTCACTAGGACAAGGAGAAGAATCCCACACCAAATTCGACTTCCACGCGTCCGTAAAACTCATCGGTAATCCGTAATTGTGATTCGGATAATCGAATCCCATCGACCTTATCAATCCCAACTGATCTTCGTCTAATAATCGTTGTCCCACGTCGATTATCTCGTCTTTTCCGACCACCGCGCAAACGTTTTCTTGAACTAAATTTCCAGTTTCGGTATCCGACGAGAATATTCCGTTATTGCAATGCTCGTTATTCACGAATTCTCCGAATATCGAGCTCGACATTTCTAGAAACAAAGAAGAAGCATCGTTGTTATTATTATTAATGCCGGCTGGTAAACTGGTTGTGAACTGATGTGGCGTATTTTCGATCTGATAAACAGCTGGTGAACCGAATTGAAGGGGCGACGAATAGTTCGTTTTGCTAGAATAATAACCCGAGTGATAATTAGCGTTGTTAAAATCACAAGGGCTTATTGCATTATTTGCATCACATGTTGTTATAATGTGATCAAACACTGGAGAAACCCAAGAGTGTTGAGACATATTTGCCCTTTGCGAATTACTCGAGCTCGATTTCTTGAATATTCTACATATTGCCCATGCTTCCTGCAAAAAAAAAAAAAAAAAAATTAAAATTTTATTACATAAATAACTTCTATATATATATACATCAAGAATTATTACATGCACTACTTACATTTGCAGGGATATTTTTGTCCAAATATTTCTTACTAGGAGAAACCGAGTCGTTGAGCGAGGGCAATCGAAACTCGTGCATCATCCAATCGGTTTTGATTCCTTTGGCCGCTCTGCCTTTGTAGAAAACGAGAGATTTCTTTAAGCCGATGCATTTAGAGCCGCCATCGGAGGCGTAGATAGGTCGGTCAGTTCCGGTGGCTTTCCAAAAACCGGCACCGGTAACTCGGTTCGGCCTTGCACTGTTTCTGTATTTTCTGTCCCTTGGACAGTAAAAGTACCACTCCTTTTCTCCAGTAGTTGCCAACTCTGCTTAAACAACACAAAAAAAATAAAAAAATAACATCAGTGTATATAATAATTAGTACAAAGATGTAATAATTAATATTAGGGTTTTGAATAATGTAAGAAAATTTTGGAAGTAGATTTTTTTTTTTTTGATTTTTTTTTCACTTACTCGGAAGATCCCACGGGTCGTGTTTGTAGATATCGAGCTGCTTAATGAGTTCAATAGAGAGAGGTTTGTGTTGAACTTTTCTTTTGAGATAAAACCCTACTAATTCTTCATCAGTTGGATGAAATCTGAAACCTGGCAGCATTATTTCTTCTGTTTTCTCACTTTCAATTCTTGCATGATCCATTTTTTTCCGAAAAGATTAAACTTCAAAATTTCGATTCACTACTAAAGATCGAAAAAACCGAAAGTCTTACAAAGCAGTTAAACCTAGCTAGGCTAGCTAAAAGAAAAAAAAAAGAATCAAGAAGTAATGAAAATATTAATGGAGTGACCTAAAAGCATGCAACTTAGTTCAAGACAAGCAAAATGAACACAGAAGTAAGTTGAATTAATATGCAGAAGCCACACGCAGATCGAGACGAGTCGGGCCCCCGAAGGATCAGCCGACTTTTCTGGTGACTTTAAAGGAGCTTGTTTAATTCTGCTAATATTGCTTATTATGATGCTCTGTGCATGAGGTGAGAGATAATTCAACCTTAATTAAGTCTAATTAATTAATTAATTACTTAATTAATTACCCTCAAGAACAACTACCAAGAAAAGAAAACCCCAAGTCAAGAATATATATATAAGTAATGACTTTTAATTTCCTTCCTTAGTAGTGACTCATGAACCAAACTTTGTCTGGTTTAGTTAAGTACTCCAAAGTTAGGAATCCCAAGGAAAACCCTAGTTAGTCAGCCCCTCATGGAGATTAATTAGAATGTTAATTAATATAGTTATTCAGCTTAATTAATTAATTAAGTGAAGACAAAGCAATCTTCCAAAATATATATAATGAATGGATTAATTTGAGTAGTGGTGTTTGAATTTTGACATGGAAATGAGGACCAGAAAAAACCCAACTCCCCATGCAAAAGCTCAAAATTATATTCAACTGTCAAATTCCCATAACATTATATTAATTATTTAATTATTTAATTAATTATAGTAGTCTTTCATATATCAGTATTAATTAATTTAATATGAAAGTGGAGTCAGTATCTCAGGATCCGAAAATGCGACTTCTAATTCCATTCCCAAAAGCTTCTATTCCACTGACTTGTCAGATTATACAACTAATTTTCCCCACGGATCTCAAATCCTAATTTAACTCCCATTTAATTAATTTCAGAACCTATTGTTTGACCATTTGACCATTAATTTGAGGGTGCCATTAATTTTCTCTCTTGGCATGGCTTAATTTAACACAAGCATCTTTTTTTAAGAGATCAAATTTGGGTCAATCAAGTTGACTTTTTGTCAAGAAAACGAAGATGCACGGTAGTTTCGCACGAGTTAGATACTATATCTGGTTAATTACATTGGGTGAAATTTGGACCCCATATTTGATTAAATAATTATCCACTAAACATGCATACACATGAGTGTGTGTGTGTGTGTGTTTATATGTAGATCTACGGTTTAAATTAAATACACAAAGTGTAAATAATTAGGTGTATTATCTAATTTCCCGTAGGTTCACCCGGTTTTGCTTCTTAGATAAATATAATTGAATAGAAATTAAAATTGTATAGTAGTTAGTTAAGTCAAATTAATTCTTTTAAATATACCATGTGTTGCTAGTAACAAATTTATGGTCAGACCCGTAAATTAAAGCTTTTTGGCTTGTAGAGTAATTAAGTTTGATCTTACGTTAAATCCTAATGAAAACAAATTCAAGAAAAAAAAAAAAAAAGAAAGCTGCATTTTTGGTAATTTTGAGGCTTGCATTGCATGATTGTATAATAAAGAACAGTGGTCCTGTAATACTCTTTCCTGTAGTTGATGAATAATTAATCAACAAATCCAGATTTTAAATATCATAAGATTAATTATTAAAAATACAAGAATAATTAAATACTCACTACATAAATTGTAATCTATGACCATAACTTCTAGTTCCTACTTCAGTTTGGTCAAACTATATCTTGTGAAAATTAGGAAAAAAAATTTGTCGCACACTCGATTAGTGGTGTAAATGAGCTGAACCGGCTCATGGGCTCCATGAGTTGGCTCGAGCTCAAACTCGAGCCCAAAAAAGCCATTCATTAGCTCCTAAGCCGGCTCACGAGCTTCGTATATATAAAATAACCCTCATTAGAAGAGTTGGTACCTAGCCTTTACTATATATATATATATATATATATATATATATATATATATATATATATATATATATATATATATATATATATATATATATATATATATATATATATATATATATATAAAAGATGAGCTAGCCTCGACAGACTTGGCTCGAGCTCGAGTTCGAGCTTATCAAATAAAAGCTTGATGAGCTTGAGTTTGAGCTCAAACTCACCAAATTTGATTCGAGCTTGAGCTCAAAAAAACTGGCGAGTTCGGTTCATTTACACCCCTACACTGGATCTAATAATCTCCCAACTACGTACTGTATTTTACATATATATTTATCCTCGTATAAATTTGCATCAGAATATTTTAGATAATATATATATAGATAATTATTTTTAAATTAAGAGTTGATTTTATATATTTAACAGTAATTAATTTGGGAGGGCAGAAGTCAATAATCTTGAATATTGCAACATTTTGGAAATCCAGGGGGCATGCATGGAATTCCTCAAATCTTCTTGCTTCTTGAAAAGTCATTACTCAATATTTCTCAAAACCCCCCCATTCAAGTTTGAATTTTTCTTCAAATTAACTTCACAAATTATTACATATTATTTAGTTTCTCGTACCAAAGTTTTTCGCACCTTGTCTTCAATGTGGGAGTAATAGTACCCTCAATTAAATGGCGGGTTTTTAATTTCACACACACACACACACACACACACACACACACACACACAGAGCTGAGTCAAATGGCAAACTCGGAGACTTCAAAAAAAAAAAAAAAATGGCGGACTCCAAAAACCTAATCCTCGTTTGGAGACAGAGTTGTCTGTTTTCACTTTGACCTAGGTTTTGCTTCCCATACGTGCAGTCTGAAAATATGTGTCCACATGCATAAACTACTGTTCTTCAACCCCAATTGTATAATATTAATTCAAACTTATAAATTCAAAAATATTCACACATTTTTATACAATATGTAGAATTATATTTATTATTTGTCATTTTAAGATTAGAGAAGTTGGTCCAGGGGTGTTCGGTTCGATCCGGTTTCGGTTCAGCTCGGTTTTGATTTCAGTTTCGGTTTTGGTTTCGGTTGCACTACCACGACTGTTATGAATCGAATTAGATTCATAATAACAGTAATCCATTGCTCAGAAATTGTGTTCGATAACAAGATTAAAGATATGAAGAATGAGAAAATTAGGCTAAAAGACGAGCTACACTAACCTAACTACGAACTAGCTTCTGAAATTGCTTGCCTTTCCCAATCCCCTAATATGCTATTTATACTCAAATGACCAAGGCAATACGACGTCGTTCCGTTGAGCAGAGAATTGATAAAAGGGTCAATTAAAAACCACGCTTCTTTAAGTTGGAGAGCAACTCTTCTTCAAACGGCGTCGTTTCTTCTCTTTCCAAAAGGGGGCTATTCTTCTCTAATTCGGCATCGTTACAACGACAAATAATATTCGGAGAGAAAAAATCTATTATCATATTTTTCGGCAATATTTGTTTGTTACAATGTTGTCACTATTAGTTTAATATAGTCGAAAAATAAATAAATAAAAATAATTTAAAAAATAAAACAACAACAACAAAAAAGAATTACTAGTGACTCAACATAAAATACTATCAGATAACATTGTATGTCAATTAATATTTTATTTTGTATCATTTTTCTTGCACTAACTAACTTTTGAATGGTATTCTTAAACCATACACAAATGATAGAAGAAATTGAGGTAGTATTAAGGGAGTGATGTTTAGCTAAGCTTAAAAATGTTAATATTAATTTATTTATAAGTTGTTTAAGAGCTTAGAAGCTCTTAAAAAAATATTTGGTAATCGTTTTCTAAAATATTGTAAAATTTAAAAATAAGTTGCTGTAGAGCATATACAATTGTTTTTAGTTTTTACAAGTATTTATACTATACCTCACATTTTTTTTGAGATCGTATAACGAATAAATAACTTACAAGCTCAATTTTCAAACACTTTAAAAGTTAATTTTAAATGGAGCATTGTAGGGAAAATTACAGTTTTCATCCTTCAAGTTTGCATTAATTTTACATTTGGTCCCTCATGTCTGAATAATTTAACACTTTTGGTCATTTCCGTCAATTTACCGTTAGTTCGTCAGTTAAAGAAATGATTGGCACACACATAATTCCGTTAGTAGTAACGAAAAATTGATGGAAATGACTAAATGTGTTAAATTTTGGAAACATCAGGGACCAAATATATATTGTTTTGAACATGGGGGGTAAAATGTAAAATTGATGGAAACGTGAAGGACGAATATTGTAATTTTCCCGAACATTGTATTTATATATTCAAGAAAGGGACCCGTTCACATATAATTTGCTGGCCCATTAAACCAAATATATTGGGCCCAAACGAGAATCAATTGCGGGCCCAATGAAATCTAGCAATTTTAAGAGGATTGTTTGCAAGCCCGGTAACTGTAGCGTACAACTATCGATGCATGAACGTACTACCTTGACATCTCCTAAGTCTAATAATTAACATTTTAAATTCTGGGCACACAAAAAGTCAAGGAACAATAATATCACGTACTGGGGATAGTTATTGCCTACTCTAAGGTCCATACAATAACTATGGACTGCTCCCTTAATTACAGGTGGCCCTACTATATTATTGGGCTGAAAATTGAGGATTTTTCCAAGTGCTACGAGTGTACCACGAGGTCATCCGGCCAGTTTGGCATAAATTTGAAGAATGAATCTTCGTCCCTATTAGTCGCGTATGCAGAGAAAATGTCGTAGGGTTTGAACGTAGCTTACTAGATGAAAAGTTGAATGAATATACAGAAAATAACGGTCGTGTGGATGACTTGTGTAAGTTTTAACTACTGTTTGTTTTTAAACGTCTTTTATTCTCAAATCCTAGCAAAATATGCCCCAAGTTTATATTTCAGTACATGGATAATTTATATAATCTGGGATCGTAGGCATGGTCATGATTGCCCTACGAGTGTTTTTTTGTAAAAAATGAGGACGTACGTGAATGATAGAAGAGTCATATCGGTGATTGTCTAATATATAAATTTAGTCAAAGGGATTTACGAGCTAAAACCCCAGGAATTTTAAAATAGCGCACTACCATCAATTTTTGTGTATTTAAATGAAAACCCTTTTTATTTTTACTTTATTCATTACTTCATAAGATGCATTTTCATCAATATAATTATTACATTTTCAATTAATTATGATATTATTGTTATTTACTTATTTATCCAAAACCACACCACTAACGCCACCGACTTAATAATTAATGGGAGTAAATGTTTAGATTTTAAAAAGTTACTGGTACTCAATGGTATTAGTAACAAATAGTAGGACTAATTTGAAAATTTCCCTCTCATCATTAGCCCATTAAAAAACAAAAGAAAACACAAAGAACCAAAAGATTCATTTGTCGCCCGACATCTTATATATGGAAACATAGCAGCAGATTATATATATATGGCCCCAATTTTCCACTACAGACTGAAATTAGGGTTTTTGAGTTTCAATCAATCAATTCTCTCCTATCCGAATTTGTGATAATCGGATCTGTTTTTCAGCATTTTTTTTCCCGAGTGGCGAAGAAGCATAAAGACGCGGATTTTGTTGATCGTTGAATCAGTGTCTGCATCAGTCATCAACTGATGCGATTGGTACGGCGTTTAATCCCTTCGTGCATCCTTAATCACCATTAGTTAACAATGCTCTGCTCTGCTCTGCTCTGCTTTTTATTTGTATTTGTCAATTATTTGAGGTTTTCTATTCATTTTTAGTTAAAAGGATGTATGCTCGTGATTTGAGACCTTTGTTAAGTTTATAACAATTCGAGCCTCTGTAATACTATGATCGTTTTTTAATAGATGTTCATGACAAATCTTAGAATTGTGGTTGTGGATCTTAGTTATGTGATGAATATATGATTTTATCAATGTTGTTCTTGTGAGTAATTAGTTTCCACATTGCAAAAAGCAGATCACTAACAAAGCTAATTTTTCATAGATTGCTTACTTCTCGTTTTCCCGTCAACTTTGATATGTAATAGGAGTTCTTTTTTTGCTTTCCCCAAATTGCAAAAAAGAAAAAGGCTATTGATCGATGCTGATCTTTTTTCTTTCTTTACTAAATTTAAGGTTTTTTTTTTTTTAATTTTCAGGACCTGTGATGGCGAACAAGTTCAATTCGGGCGACAATAGAACCAGAAATTCTGTATCTATTTTCATCATAGCAGGCTTATGCTGTTTCTTCTACTTACTCGGAGCATGGCAGAGAAGTGGATTCGGTAAAGGTGACAGCATTGCATTAGAAATAACCAAAACGAGCACTAACTGCAACATCCTCCCAAACCTCAATTTCGAAACCCACCACGGCAATGAAGCCGGAATATTCTCCGATTCCGATTCCGATTCCAAACCCACAGTTTACAAGCCATGCCACAAAAAATACACCGATTACACCCCTTGCCAAGATCAAAGGCGAGCCATGACTTTCTCAAGAGAAAGCATGATTTACCGTGAACGCCACTGCCCTTTGCAAAAAGACAAGCTGCATTGCCTTATTCCAGCTCCTAAAGGTTACGTAACCCCGTTTCCATGGCCTAAAAGCCGTGATTATGTACCCTACGCAAACGCTCCTTACAAAAGCTTGACCGTGGAAAAGGCTATACAGAACTGGATTCAATACGAGGGCAATGTATTTAGATTTCCAGGTGGAGGAACTCAGTTTCCTCAAGGTGCAGATAAGTACATTGACCAACTTGCTTCGGTTATTCCGATTGCAAACGGAACTGTTAGGACTGCTTTGGACACTGGCTGTGGGGTATGTTTTGTATTTCTGTATCTATTTTTTTTGTTGTTTGAATACTAAGGTTGTCTTTTTTTTTTGTTTTTTGAAGTAAAATATTAAGGTTGTCTTGTTTTGTTGATTTATATGTGGTTGTTATGTGTTAGGTTGCTAGTTGGGGTGCGTACCTATGGAAAAGAAACGTTATAGCAATGTCGTTTGCACCTAGAGATTCGCATGAGGCACAGGTTCAATTTGCTCTTGAGAGGGGTGTGCCAGCTGTCATTGGTGTTCTTGGAACTGTGAAGATTCCTTACCCGTCGAGTGCGTTTGACATGGCTCATTGTTCGCGTTGTCTTATACCTTGGGGGGTTAATGGTAATTAACAAACACCTTCCGAATCTGTGATTAAAAAAAGGAGTCTTTATCATTTTTAGGTGTTAGTGATGGATTCTATTTGTTTCTCTTCTCTTTGTAGATGGATTGTATATGAAGGAAGTTGATCGTGTGCTTAGACCAGGTGGTTATTGGGTTCTTTCTGGTCCTCCGATTAATTGGAAGATTAATTACAAAGCATGGCAGCGACCAATGGAAGAGCTTCAAGAAGAACAGAGGAAAATTGAAGAAGTTGCGAAACTTTTATGCTGGGAGAAGAAATCCGAGAAGGGTGAAATAGCAATTTGGCAGAAGTCGATGGATACCGATTCCTGTCGTTCTGCACAAGAAAATTCCGGAGCAGAATTCTGTAAATCGGAAGATGCTGATAATGTCTGGTATGGATCACTAACTACACTATTATATTTAGGGTCGAAATTTCTCAAATTTGGAACAAGCTTTTTTTTTCTCATTCCGAATTCCGATTTTTCCATTTTTTTTTGGATTGCAATTGGATTATATTATGGGATTCTGATTTCCGATGCGATCTTAATTTTGAAAATTATGTTTTTTTTTCTTAAATTTCATTTATAATATCAACATAATTATGTATTTTATAAATAGGTGACTATAATATTGGAATTTTCCAAATTCCTCCGATAGCGATTCGAAAATTTCCCAATTTTGGAATAAGTTTTTTCATTCCAAATTCTGATGTCCGATTTTTACGATCTTTTTGGAACGGGACTGGAATTAGTTTTTCACTTTCAGAAAAAAATCAGATTTTTTGTAACTTTTTAAAGGGGTTATTCGATATGTAGTTGTACTGTGGCACAACATATCTAAATTGTTTTAAATCATTCCTATTATTAATCAGGTACAAGAAAATGGAGCAGTGTATTACTCCGAATAATAACAATGCTAACAGTGATTTAAAGCCATTTCCCGAGAGGCTTTATGCCGTTCCACCGAGAATTGCAAGTGGCTCGATTAGTGGAGTTTCCGTTGAAGCATATTTGGAAGATAATAAGCAATGGAAAAAACATGTAAACGCGTATAGAAAGATTAACAAGATTATTGATTCCGGAAGGTACCGGAACATTATGGATATGAATGCTGGATTGGGTGGTTTTGCTGCTGCACTTCAATCTCCGAAATTGTGGGTTATGAATGTTGTACCTACTATTGCCAAGAAAAATACTCTCGGTGTTGTATATGAACGAGGATTGATTGGCATTTATCATGACTGGTACATCTACTCGAATATTTAATATTAAATATTTAATATTATTCGGCTGCTAAATTGATTTGTTATAATATTGTTTAGGTGTGAAGGCTTTTCGACATATCCAAGGACATACGATCTTATCCATGCTAATGGTGTCTTTAGCTTGTACAACGATAAGTACGTACCTTCCCACCCTTTTTTTTTTGAATTTGAAAATGTGTTGGAATATTTTTGTGGATTATCAAATTGAATGAAACGCAGGTGTAATTTCGAAGATATTTTATTGGAGATGGATCGAATTTTACGGCCCGAAGGTGCGGTTATATTCCGGGATGAAGTTGATGTGCTTGTGAAGGTGAAGAAAATAATCGGGGGTATGAGATGGGATTCTAAGATGATCGATCACGAGGATGGTCCTCTTGTTCCCGAGAAAATATTGGTTGTGGTCAAGCAATACTGGGTTGGAAACTCCACTTCCGAGCAGTGAAAAGTCTAAAATGCCCTTCTGTGCCATGATTTTTCAAGAGAGGGTTCTTTGATCTTCTTACACAAGGTCCAAAGGATGCACATATTTGACCAGGGATTGATTGGTCTCTAGTTTATAGGTTGAAACTGTTGTAACACAAAATGTTATTTATTGAAATCCCAGTTGAGATTTTTAACTTTCTTTATAGTAGAGAAAAAAACTGAGTTTCTGTATGATATAATTACCCTAGTAATGTACCAATGTTATTGTGCAATTTGCATTAAAACAGAGTTCCAGATTTTCGGACAATTTCTCGCAATCGTATTACCGTCTTCCTGCTTCTGCTAGCAATTACTAATATTACAAAAAAACTCTGTACCGATCAAAGAAACTAAAGAACAAGTCGGATAATCGAAAAGTGACACCATTAAAACAACCCTATTTGGTGACTGAACATACAATTTTTCACCCCAAGTATTGTGCTTATTACCATTATCATATAAGCAAACTTCCAACTGCAATCGATAAACCAGACAACAAATAACCAATCGTATATCACAAATCAAGATCAAGAAACATAAATCTGTTTAAAAAAAAAAGAAAAAGGAAAAACAGAGTCTGCCATATATGCCTCCACAGACAAAATTACACTGCCATTGACGCCTCAATGCTTATATCGGGAAGAGCTAAACTATACACCATGCCACATGAGTATAGATATATATCAATAACATATATATATACGAATCATATAAGTACTCGAGCAATCAAAAAAGGATTATAAGAAAAAAGGAAAAAAAAAAACCGAAACCTTTAGTGATTGATACACAATTGTTACAGGCAATGGTTAATTCAACTCAGTTCTCCTTGCAATCTTTACCAGGCCGTGCTTCAAAACCCCCTTTACTTCTCTTCTCAAGCGAATACGGCATGTAAGTACCAAGAATCCTGTCCCACATCACAAAAAAGGGCTGCGAAAAGTTGTACTTATTCCCATACAGCTGATGGTGAATATCATGATAAGCTGAGTTATTTCCGAAGAAAATATGGAAAAGATTGCCAGGCAGCCACAAGCCACAGTGGTCGTCAACTGTTTTGAGGGTGGCAAAGGAAAAGAAGAAAATGGATGCTCGAGGTGACATGCCTGAGATAAGGAAAGATAAAGCTCCACCGATTGTGTCGAGAAGAAGACCTTCCACTGGATGGTTGTACAATGCTCCGAATGCGTAAGGTACAACTAATCGGTGGTGCTGAGAGTGGATGTGGCGGTACAAGAACTTGTTGTGGTGCATATATCGGTGCATGAAGTATTGCCAGGTGTCAAGGACCATCATTGCTACCAAGAGTTGCCTAGCAAGAACGAAGAAGGAAGTTTGTTGTGATTGTGCAGAATCAGTGTCACTTCCGGTAACCTACAAGAAAGGTAATATAATTTATTTTAGATCTAACAAAGCCAACACTACAAGAATAATCTAGGGAAAAAAGTCAGCACATATAGATATAAAAGAACAACGAGTGATATAAGAAATTCCCAAGATTGCCTCACGGGTCAATAATATATCGCCCGAAAATAATAAAAATATCCAAAACAGCTGGTTAAAAATTTTGGTTCCTGTAATGTGAAGGCTACAACTAAGAGTTTTACTACAGCTGCACTTCATACGAATATATTCGGAACTTGTGATAACCATAGGAAAGATGAAGCATCCAATAGATTACGTACTAATGCCCTCAACAGCTGTAACAAATAACATTGGCAATAGGGATAGTTTTTATATGGGCGGCAATCCCCTATGAGCAAAAAACCATGTGTCTTATCATAGAACAAAGGGGGAAAAAGACATAATTCAGTAGAAAGAAAATAAAGATTTAACTATAAAAATCAAAACCCTGAAGCATGCTGGTACTTGTCCGTTTTCACAGGTAAGCAACTGAATTTATTTCTTCGATAAAGTACCATTCCTTCATTTATAACTAATTTTATCACTTAGTGTCAAATCTAGCTGTGATGACTTGCTGTTGTTCGAATCAATTTACACGAGAACACATTCCCTGTTATGTTACAGAGGCATCACGTTGTCTGTTCCACTAAGACAGTTTCCCATGAGATAATAAATGGAGTCGAACAAACAAAATGAAAAAGAATTGGAAGTTATCGGAACAATGGTGCCATGTTTTGAGGAAAGATCTTAAGCCGCAATAGAAAATCCTACATTAAAGTGGTGCACCTTATAAGTAAAATCTAACAATAAATTTCGCTGACAATCAAGAACAACTTGCCACAGTGAAATAGTTAGTCTTTATAGAGAAATATACTGGTCAACTCATTAAGCATTTTATCTGCCCAATCATTTAATGCTCGAAACGATTACAAAATCTCAATGAACATTAATTGCCGCTCAAGTTCAACAAACCACGTAGTGCAATCAATGTTCCTCCCGCTGATTGAAGAAATTAAAAACCACAATAAGATTTGCATGTAACGACATTCGATATATTCATTTCCAACAACTTCGAGCACCAAAAACATCAATACAGCTAGAATTCAGTGTTTAACCCGTCCCCAATAAACGACGAAAAATTCATTTATCCAGATCCCCATCGAATCCAACAAGTACAAGCATATGTTCCACTACACTAATAATCTTTCAGATGAATTACAGATACCTAAAAATGTAGAAATGCAGACAATTACAACAATTACATATTCATTTTCCTCGATTAATCGCAATAGTAAGGACACCATATAACCAAAATCACACCAATTTTTCTAAACATGAAACACAGATGCATAACCCCATCAAAAAAAATTAAAAAATAAAATCAACTAACAAAACACACACACACACACACACACACACACACACACACACACACACAGACAGAGGAGAGAGAATGAAATGCTCACAGCAAAGAGGATGGTGGCGACAACAGCCTGAACAGCCTGCTGAAGGAGTACACCTTTGACCACATCTTTCTTCGAAACCAAATTCTTCTCATCTTCATCTTTCTTCGTATGCAGCCTGTAATTCTCCAGTGAACCTAACAGCACATAAATCCCCGAATACAACCAGTACACAACAATCGGAGCAACCGTACCCAACAATTCATCCGACACTTCTAAACCACCATTAATCATCATTTCCACCACCACCTAATATTATTATTCCCAACAAAGAGAAAACAAAAAAAATCAACCGGCGTTCGATTTTGTTTGGGGGCGATTCAAAATCGGAGAAAAACAAACCCTAGAACATATTATGAGATGGATCAAAATTCAATTTTGTTTGAGGGGGGGTTTTTTAATTCGAGAAAAGTCTCCTCAAAAAAGTTGTTTTTAACACTTGGAAGACTTTCGGTTGTTTCCTGAGATGTCAATATATATATATATATATATATATGCATCTACGCATATACGTACACCATTACATACATGGTTTGTATGTATATCGTGTATGTATTGATTGGTAGATTATTTTTGTTGATTCGTACTCTCTTCTTCTGTGTTAGATTTACAGAAATTCTGGATGGTCTGTAAATTTATATAATTTTGGGGATTAATTTGTATTTTCTCATAATTAAACAATTTATTATTAGTTGTGATTAATTGATAATTAGTTAAAAACAAGTGGTTAATGGAAATAAATGCTTTTAGCTAAATATCTGTGTGCGGTGTCGTTTTATCACTTGGGAAAATTCGGTGGGCACTTTAATTTTTATTATATGTAAATATTTTAAAATATCTTTCATATTATAAGAAGACGACTTATTCTAAATAATATTAAAAAGTGTGGATATAATATTTTATTTTTATTATTTGATTTGTCTGGCCATTTATTATTAAATTAATTGTCGATGGCTACAATAAATCACGTTAAAAGACTTTGGATAAGGACTGAACAAAGTGAATTATTTAATTAAACATTATAAAAGTTAGAAAAGATTCTTCCAAGCCATATTTGCCACTAAAAAAATAAATAAATAAAAGAATAAATAAAGCTTCCTAATATGTTAATTAATGGAATAGATTCTTCTTCCAGGCTATCCAAATTTATCATGTCAGGGTGTGGACAACTTTGAAGCTTTCATATTGTAGATCTTATATTTCTTAATTATATGTAACAATTTTATTTTAATGAGAATTATGTAAATTTTAATAGTAGTGAAAAAAATATAAATAATCACTATATTCTACATATATATTACGGGCTCATAATTATGTAGTCAACTGGATTTGAAGAGTGTGTCTGATTAAGCTTATAAACTGTTAAAAAAGAATTTATAAGATGTTGTAGAGCTTATAAGTTTTTTCAAAGAGCTTGACATTTTTTTTTAATCTTATTCTTTTTTTAAATAAGCTGCTCGAGAACTTTTACGATCTTTAATACAGAGCATATTCATCGTATTTTTTTTATTTAAGATCTTATAATGAGTAAACAACTTATAAACTTATTATGCAAACACTTTAAAATTAGACATGATAACATATCCGAAGTAACAACGGACAACCTATCGGTTGTTTAAAATAAGTTTAACCAAACGAGTTGTTAATAGTGACAAGCAAACGAATTTAAGTTATATAAATGTATATTAGGTAAAATTGCTATTGGATTACGAATTTGTAATTTTGTTGCTAAATAACAAATATCTCTAGAAAAAGCATTTGGATTTGTAGGATGTCAAAGACTCAAAAGTGAGTGGCTAGAGATTAAGGGCTTGGGCGTGGGGCCCACTTTAC